AACTGTGAGGAAAAGAGATTAGAAGTTGAACATCATTTTGAGAAAAAAGATGAATTGTTTACCTGAGCAGCTGATGGTCTTGTTCTATGGAGTCTTTTCCCAGTAACGGCTTTCTGGGTTGCCCCTTGGACCACCTTGTGCTTTGAAGATTGATACGTCATGATCGTGGGAGCAGCATGAGTTTTCATCAATTTCTTCAGTGAAGGTGCGGCCGATCCTATTCTTGAAACTGGGAATGGTGGCTGATAATCTATAGGACACCCCTTCCTATCCAAGCTCGGAGGATCAAATTCAGTGTCCTAAAAGGGTTGGTTAGAGCAGTTGGCAAAAGAATTCATCGAACAATTTTCTTAAAAAGAAATGGCAAGTTACCTCTCCGTCAGAAGCAAATTCCCCATCCAGAGCTATGCACAAAGGGTGGACCAACCCATAGAAAAGATGGGAGTGCCATTCTTGCCACCAAGAGTCAAAGAGAGTGGAAGAGAAGCTGACTCTGATCCAGTCATGCAGGCAAAGGGAAGGAAGATCTGATCCTAGTTGGAAGACTCTAGAGGCTTCTAGTACTTCATTGATACCTTCTCTTAGCCTCAGTATATCCTTAAAGAAAAGTTGAGGAGGCAATTGACCAAGACCAAACTGACGAGCTACAAAAGAGGGGTTGTAAAACTCATAGGTTAGAAGGTTGCCTGGGAGGAAGGAGCCTGTAGCCATTTTGCCACGACCGTGACAAAATTCGGCAGGAAGGACACAAGGTTTGATGAAGGAATTAAAGATTGCTGCCACCATCTGGTCCAAAAGCCTAATTCATATTGAAATTTGAATGGGAAGATCAGCTCATTGTTCTCATCCTCATCATAGGGTAACCAAGTCAGGATCTCTGCATCAAACCCTATGTAAATTTTTTTGAAGAGGTGGCCGACATCGACAACAATTGTTATGGCCGATGCAGCTTCACCATAACTCGTGCACTGATGGGATCTTCCATCTTCGCCTCTATATTCCTCATCAAAGTTGGAAGAAGGAAAGCTCAGGCTTCTGAGATCAGGCCTTACCATCTTGTGCATATACATGTTCATCGATAACTGTATCAACCACCAGGGGCCACTAATAGTATGCACTGATTCGTTCTTCAGTAACTGGGTAGCCACCTAGTGCATCAGATAATAAGCAGCTCCTAATAGATACTTCCCAACGGGAATATCCTTACCAACTGTCAGATGCTCTGCCATAAGTTTATGATTATAAGTCGGACCACAAGATGACCCACAGAAAGATGAATCACTCCAACCACATGTTTAGGAAGGCCACATATTCCCTTTCACTGACATTTGGTTCGTCTCCAATATGGTTCAGAATGTAACTGGCCCATCCTGTGCAGTCTGATATTTTGGCTAATTTCTTAGATCCAGCACTTAAGAAGTCATAAGGTTGCATCGATCCTATTATTCTGAGGCCAGTCAGCATATAAACATCAGTCAAAGTGATAGTCATTGGGTAGTGACAAAAAACAAAGGCATTTAGGGTGTTAGACCAAAAATAAGATGCAGAAATCAGGAGTGAATCATTCCTCTCCATTCCAGACAACGAAAGTGTCAAGCACTGATTCAGATCATAAAGCTCCCAATCTCCACCCTTTCTCTTAGACACCCTACGAAACCAATTTCTCCATCCCTTAGGTATTTTGGGTCAGTTTCTGAAGGGAGTTTTGGTGTTCTAGGAGGATGAATCCACTGTAGACTGTTTGAAGGGGATTTGATTAGTTTCTTGATGGATAAAATCAGATGGATCAGGATCACCCATAGGCCCAAGAAAATAAATATTGGAAGCAACAGCTGATGGAATCAAGATTTCGTTCCTCATTTCCTAGAAATCGGATAAAGTAAATTTGAGAACAAAGGAAATACAGGGTAGCGACCGACACTTTGAGAATGGGAACTTGAAGGCATACCTCGGGGATGTGGTCGCTGGTCACCATTACAGCCGAGGAAGATTTGAATCCGAGGAAGACCGCTCGAATAAAAGCTTGATAGGGCAGAAGATTTGCTAGGGTTGAGGCTTTGGCAATGGCGGCGTCGGCTATTCAGATGTGCTTGAGAAAGAAGGGAAAAGCAAAAGGCCGAGTAAGTTGGAAAAGATACTATTGGGATATTATATAAGACTCGGGCCAGGAAGTTAGGAGTCGCGCGTATATCTCGGAATAAAACGGTTGCGGTGTGGTAAACGGAGAAAGAGGAATTTTGGAATAAAATCATTTTTATCCTAAAATTGGGGGTATGTGTTTACACCAAAATTTGGAGAGAAGAACGCGGGAACTCGAAGCTTCCAAAATTGTGTCGATCAAGGACTCAATTGCATGAAGATTGGTATCAGTTGATTTAGATGAGACACTGGAATCGGCTCTCTATGACGTCAGTAGATAACAATAATGGGCTACGATTGGCGTCGGAAATACATATCGGACTCTACAAAAAGGGAAATATTAGGGTCCAAGTTACCTTAAGTTAGGAATATTCTCTTTTATACCAAAGATTGTAATGAGTCGTACTTGAGTAGGATTCATGTTTAGACCCCAGGTATAAATATTGGACCCTGGCTATTGTAAAAGGACAGACAATCAATCAAATACAAGTCATTTACTTTTTCAGCTCTGGCCAACCCTTACGAGTAGGAGTAGAGTAGATTTCAGCGAGTTCTTCAGCAAGCAGGGCTGCATCGGTCTGGCCGACCTCCGGTTTGTTTGTAAGTACCGTCATGGTTTATACTTTGGTTTGTATGGCTGCATCGATCCGGTCGACCTCCACTGCGAATCTTAGTATAAGATAGTTATCGACTCTTATCTAGTTCAAGTACGCCTGCATCGATCCGGTCGACCTCCATTGCTCGAACTAGATTAAGGTCAATTTATCGGCTCTATCTAAGGGTGGCGTCCTTCGGGTAGATTTATTAAGTTACCGATCTTGCTCATGTCTTCATTGTTATTAGTTTACAGCAGAATCAATCTGCTCGGTCGAGATCAATTTAGATCGGCCTCATATCTTTTAGCCCGTCGTTCGCTTTGTCACAAAACGATATTGTTTACCTTGAGCGACGGTTTATGTTTCATCGGCTGTTTTTATTTCGATCTTGATCGTGCATAGTGTGCGGTTAAGGCATGAATGATCTTGAATGGATTTGCTGGTTAGTTAAATCTGGTCTACGGTTCACTATTATGGCTGTAATGATCCGGTCGATCCCCACTGATAGCACTGTAGATTTGAGGATGCTAGTTAGTAGATCTGTTCCTAGTTAGGTGTGACCTTAGCTGTTTGCTATGTCTGCATCGGCTAAATAGCCGATCGCCTGCGCGTTAATGCCTACAGTGTGTGTCCATGATTCTGTTAAGCGTGAATAGATCTGTGTACTTTAAGGGTTTGATTCGTTGTCTTTTTCACGGCTGCATCGATCCGGTTGAACCCCACTATTAGAGATAGCAGGTTGAGTCTGAGTAGTCCATAGGTTTGTTTATGTGAAATAGTCGATTGTTCACACGTTGTAGTCCTCTTCACCTGAATCGGCTATTATGTCGTTTGGAAAGCCTGTAGAAGTATGGATGTTCTTACAGATTCTTCGGTTTTAGTTTATTACTATCATCATAGCTGCCATTGATCCGGTCGAACCTCACTGTTGGTGGTAATAGATTAGATTCAGAGTGTTTGTAGGTCTACCCGTATCATATAGTCGATTTGTTTGTATGCTATATCTTTTATTGTTATATTCATCGGTTCAATACTGTGTCTAGCTGATGATCTTATTTATATCTTTGAGTACTGTACCTGTCGATATGAAATTAATTGCTACCCATGAATTTTACGGTCCGTAACAGCCGATTTCTGTGCGTATCGGCTTTTTGGTCGTTTTTCTTATCTGGCTGCTCCCGAAGCGGCACACTTGGAACTGTCTGGGCACAGACCGGCATATTCCACCTTAAATTACTGATAAACTTTCTCTCCTTGTCAATTGCAGAGTCAAATTGACTGGCACGTCTCGGGAGGAATACGCAAGATCGGTTGTCCCTGCGTTGAAGCCAGGCGGATCTCCAGCTCCATCGAGCAGACCCTTCCGGCTTGCTGTGTGTTGATACATTTTGGTGCCCACAAGGTCTTTAAAATTTATTTGGAATAATTGGAGGCCAGTATTAGCCTCAATATCTCTAGGGTTGGGGTATAGGCTTGGTGAACTAACCTAGATCCTAACCCATTGAATGCCCTCGTATTATGTTACATGGCATGCATGGTACCTTGCGAAGGCAACCTGTTCTGTCCAGAACAACATTTTAGGACATGAAATTGATAAATTCAAATTGTTTGCATAAACATTATTGAATAATGAAATCAGATCGATCAAAGAGAACGAAAAAGTGTAGGTAGTAGCTAGGTCAATACAACACACAACTCCAAAGATATATTCCTTGGTCCCTGTTGGAAAGACGGCTAATGCATTATCCAAACTTCTATATTATATTGATCGGTCTCATGCATGCATACCATCCTTTTCACCAAAGCAATATGAGCAAACCACAGAGCATTTTCGATCCAAATCTTCTGATACGGTACCTTGAACTTATTGGTCCTAGCTAGCTCTAGCCAATAGCCACACTACTGTTGTTTCTTCCAGCTTATTTATTGATTCCTCGGAACATTTTGCTTTTTCCGATCCAGAAGCTCCGAGATCAGCTAGCTCTTCGTTTAGTACTCATCGTCACAGTAAACTAGATCGTGCTGGGCTGTTGGATAAAGTTGATGAATTCCATGAAGCACTAGCTAGTAGAGTGGTAGTAGACCCGGGCCCGGGCCCGTTATGGGATCGGAAACCTAGCAGCCTGCAAACTCCATAAAAAGGCAGCCACCTCAGTGCTCCCAAACCATCAATCGTCCATACTCACGTATACTACTCATCCAACCATCTCCACGACGTGCATCCACAGCTAGCAGCTTGTTGACTGTAGAGAGAGAGAGAGACAAATGGAGCGTGTGATGCAGCTGGCGTCGGAGCGAGCGGTGGTGGTGTTCACGCTGAGCAGCTGCTCCATGTGCCACACGGTGACGCGGATGATGGCGGACCTGGGCGTGAACGCGCTGGTGCACGAGCTGGACAGCGACCCCAGGGGCAAGGACATGGAGCGCGCCCTGCACAAGATGCTGGGCGGCAGGGGCTCCGCCGTGCCCGCCGTCTTCATCGGCGGCAAGCTCGTCGGCGGCACCAACAGGGTCATGTCGCTCCACCTCACCGGCGAGCTCATGCCCATGCTCATGAACGCCGGCGCGGTCTTGGTTTAGGCACCAGGGGATTCTATAGGTCACGTACGTACTACGTGTGTATGCATGGCCATCCATGCGTGCATGCGTGAGTGAGAAAATAAACAGATCATGCATGGTCGAAGAGTATACCACTATACCATGAAATGGTGGCCTGTGGCCTACCTAGCTTCTAATTTCGTCTTCTAGCTTCTTCCTTTTTGATATTTTCTTTCTAATTAACTGCCTATATATGGTGAGTGCGTGTACTGATCGGTCGACCCTTTCTCGACGGACTTATATGAATATATCATATATATGCTGAGAGTTAAGTAACAAGTAATTAGAGACTTGTCTTATGAATGTATACCGATTAAGTAATCTTGCAATCGTGCATTTTCTTGGTTTGAACATTAATGACGACAGGTAATTAGTAACTAGGAAATATAAATTTATCTAAAATAGAAACAAACATATATAATTTACTGTGGTGGAGCATTATTGCAATTTGAAATGTGTTGTTCTAGTCATTAGCTTGTATATTTACTTTAAGGAAATTGTACTTGCCGCTAACGTATGTATGTATAATTGATCTGCATGGTGTCGTACAACATTAAGTATATTTATTTTAATTTGAGTTACTTTTTTATATTGTAATGGGAGAAATTTCAAAGGAAGCAAATTAAAAAAGGGTGACAAGTTAATAAACAAATTAGATCCAATATATATTATCGTCAGTGTTGATTAGAGTTTATGTTGTTGATGGCAGGATATTTCCATTTTCTCTAAGAATTTCTAGGATTTTTCTCTTTTTCTCACACATCTCGTGATGACTAATTAACATGGATGCTCCAGTTAGTAATAGTAAGATTAGTCACATTAATTTTTTTCAAAAAATAATGTTGGTAAAGTTAACTAGGTTCTTATGTTGTTGTTTGCCATCCTGTTCTGCATTATAGAACGTACTCCAATACTATCCTATATCCTATCATATATTCTTATAAAGCTAGCAGTTTTTCTCAATTCACAGCCCTCCACGTCATCATTCCCTCCTGGCCCATGCATCCACCACCCATGTGTCACTTACTCAAGCATATGTACGTAGGATTGTTTTTTTACACTGCTACATGCGTGACCTTGGTTAAATATCCTCTCCATTCCTTCTCCACTTACTCCACTCACGCATGCCACAAAGCCTTTTAATGCTTTAAGTTTGATCACTTCTCACTCCACTATTACATGCATGCAACATGCAAAACATGCAACTCCATCCTAATTACCTTCATAAATAGCCTCTCCACTCCTCTACTTCCTCCTCTCACCATTGTGCCTTTTTGTTTCTACCATATTACTACTTATTCACTTCCTTGCTCTCTATATATAGTGCTTCACACACTAAACAATCAGAGACAAACCACAGGCAAGTGCTCAGAGCTTATGCTTCTTCTTTCGATCTACCTATTCTTTTGCTTGATGATTACTTTATCCACTGTTGTTTCCTAGGAGCAAGTTAACATATGGAGAAGTACCATGTTCTCACATGTTGCAGCACATCAGGAAGACTATGGTGTTCCTTTTACACCATTTTCCATATCAATCCGGTTGGAAAATGCCATATAATCCTTCTAGGTGATGAATTGACATTGATCTTCATGTATACTACTTTGTTCGATGGCGCAACTCACTTTGTAATACCATATTTTTTATTTTACTTCTGTGCAAGTTTGTGCTTCTTGCATAATCAATTTATTTGTCATTTACAAGATATCACTTTCTAAAATCTCGCAACAATGCGCGGGGTATTCACCTAGTTATCTTAATCCTAATACACCGTACCTTTTTGCTAAGAGCAAGAGAACTTTCCATTATGACCAGAGGGGCAGACTAATCTGATATGGGCCTTGTTTAGTTTACATCAAAATTCCAAGTTTTTTCACTCTCTCTCCATCATATCAATTTTTGGACGCTTGCATGGAGTATTAAATATAGGTAAAAAAAAAAACTAATTACACAGTTTAGTTGAAAATCACGAGATGAATCTTTTGAGCCTAGTTGGTCCACGATTAGACAATATTTACCAAATAAGACGAAAGTGCTACTATTCATCAGGTTGAAATTATTCACAATCTAAACAAGGCCATGGTGCCATGGCATATGCATTTATGTTAATATAAAAACATTGATAATGCATATCAAAGTGAACTAAAACAAATTTAGAAAGTCTAGAATAAAAAATAAAGGATAATGCTACTATCCAGAAATGTACAATTTTACTTATTCTCTTGTTTGGTTCTCTAATCACCTTGTTTTAAAGTACTTCCCTCAAATGGAACTAAAGTTCAGTGGCATGATCTTTGTGTTATGTTGGGCCAGATGGTAATGATTATATGTACCCACTAGCTATGCATCATAGCATTATCATCGAATTGTATAACCCATTTTCACAAGTCACAATTTAAAATAAATAGAATCTTTGTCAAAAAAAAAGTGCGCGTGATTTTATGAATATTTAGCAAAAAGAATGTAATAACGACGGTGCCATTTGGGAAAAAAAAGGACTACGTACTTTACTATCGCTAAGAATGGATTTGGACCACTTGTCGATTAATCAACTGGTTGAATTGAAAGCCAGCCAGACGAGGTATGCTGCCTTTGAAACTCTATAAAATAGTTGATCTGTATGTATGCAACTAGTACAACTTAGAGAGATCTAGTAGCGACAGATGGATCGGATATAAAGGTGCCATATACAAATATATATGGATGCATGGGATATATATTATAGACTGTATTATAGAGATTGCATGCAATCGGTTTCGGATCGCGGAATCACACAAATCCACTGTATACGCACTAGCCTGGCCGGTGAGGTAACAGTGACGAGGGAAAGAGATGCCTATAGCTAGCTACTTGCATTGGTGACTACTATTATTCTTTATCTTTTCATTTGCATCAATGCCTTTATTATATATCTTTCTAGATTCCAAAACCACAACAGGGCTACATACGTGAAGATCAGAGCAAGGGAGCTAAAGGTGTGGCTTGTTAATTGGGCGCCACATTGAGAGCTAGCACAATTCCTCACTGCATATGCATGGTAGGTAGGGCTCACAGAGGAATCACTTTTGTTTTGACTTTTTATATTTGCGTTTTCTTTTATGCAAAAAAATGTATCTTTTTTGTGTAATCCCATATATTTATTGATTCTATTCTTGTACATGCAACGACTGGTCTGCTCAAGGGGCAGTGATGGAGAAGTGGTACATATACTCTGATTGATGTACATGTCTCATCGTTACGTGCGAGTACGGTCGACGAATTCATGCTTCACTCCTTGGTGGATGTCATTTTCACTTGATCTTCTGTTCTTGCTGTGCTTTTGTTTAAATTAGTTTTCCACTATTTTGTACCTACAAAATCGAAACAAGATGAAATCCCACCATCTTGTTCTTATTAAGATATATATGTATTGTAAATTTCTTTTCGCGAGGATGTTAATTGTAAAAGTTAGTTAGCTGGCTTAATACACATGTAGAAATTGATGCTACACTGTGATGAGAACATGTTAGTAATAGATTTTATTCATGAGAAAAGTTTTATTGTCCTTGGGTGGCTGTGGCTCATAGGACGATTGGCAGGAACGAAGAAGCAGATGAAATTCTCCCAACTAAACAATACTAGGTGTTCCAACTTTGGAAAGCCACACGATGAGTAAAGTAGTTTTCCTTCTTTTATGAGATAAGCATATTGTCGGGGACCAATACTAGGGTACTCAAAGAAGAGGAGTTGATACCCATCAACGCTAATTCATCAGAGCGATCAAGAACGTAACTACGTTTCTTGGTGGGCCCCGCCTCGTCCAGCCACCAAGGCCGCAGACCCCGCCTCGCCCAGCCCCGAGGGTTGGACCGGTCTCGGCTGGCTCCCGAGGGATGGCTCCGTCTCGCTCGACCCATGAGGGTTGGCTCTGCCCTGTCCGACTCCCGAGGGCTGGCTCCGCCTCGCCCGACGTCTTAGGGCTGGCTCCGCCTCGTCCGAGGTCTGAGGCCTGGATGCGCTTCGCCCAAGGTCTGAGGGCCGACACTGCCTCGCCCGACGTCTGAGGGCTGGCACCACCTCGCTCGACGTCTGAGGGCTGGCTCCGCCTCGCCCGACGTCTGCGCGCAACTCCTTTACAACAACGCGCGGAGAAGATAAAGCAGGGCGCTTAAACTCAACCGCAATACCAAGGACCGTACCCTGCACCCCTGCAGGACAGTACCGTCAGGCCATGCCGGAAGAGTGCTTTATGACCTTCTAGGCATGTCAGAGCCAAAAGAGTGTTGTAGGCGTCGACATTTGCCCTACAGTGTTGTGGGCGCCATCATTTGCTCCGGGCACGGATCCTTACGGGAGCTCACGACAACCACTATGATCCAGAAGGAAACTCGCATCACTCACAGTAACGGACGTGCGGTCACTATGCTGCCTGCTCCCTGTCAGACCGCTGATCAACACCCTGGTCTGCCGCGCCGCCCGCCGGGGCGGGATGGGACATGATGACCCGCTGACAACGCCAGGACATGGCATCGTCAGCGAACAGACGCCTAGCGCGGCCCTGTCAGGATCGGTGGACATGCGCCCGGCGTGGAGCTGTTCCTATCACCGCCTGCCATGTCAGCGAAGCCCTGGCTCCTTGAAGGACATCCTTTACCTCTCATCTTCCTCTTTTCTCCCAAATGTAATCCATGCTCTCCCTTGGCCTATAAAAGGGAAACCAGGGCACCCCACTAAGGGGATCGATTGACCGCATCGCACATCATATTACATCACAACAGAACCACTAGGCCCGAACCTCGAGCAGACAATTGAGCAGCAACGGAGCTCTTAGCGTCCATTCGACCTCTCCATCAGAGACTTGGGACCTGTCCCTCTCTCGCCCGTTTGTAACCCCTACTACGAACTTTTCAGTGCAAATAACACGAGCAGCAGCCACGAACTAGACGTAGGGACATTCTGCCTGAACTAGTATAAACCTTGTGTCCTTTTAGCACACCATCCGG